TCTGCACGCCCAGGCCAGCCCCGGGGCCACGTGGAGCGTTTAAATGGCCCTCACGCAGAGAACACGGGTTTAAATGCCAGGCTCCCGCCGCCCCCGGGTTTCCTTGCACCCCGGGGAGTGGTTAGAGGAAGCAGAGTGAGGGTGAGCGTGGCCGCTGGGTTTTATGACTTTTGTTCTTTTCTTTCCTTTTTTGCCACACATTTTTGGAGAGTCCTTGGAGGAGGTGAGGGCTGAGGGGAAAGGCACTGGTGTCTGAATGATCTATGACAGTAATGAACTTGGTTAGTCCAAACAGTAGATTAAGTCTTCTAGCCTGTTGTCATTCCTGTCAAGGTGTATTTTTAGCAAAACCATTTGTAGCTTCCTTGGCAAGTGCTGTCAATCATTGCGTAGCCCTGCAGCGTCTGGAGGCACGGTCACATTTATAGATTTTAAACAAGTGCATGCAGGCGGATTCACATACTTGACGTGTTGGCAGGGGTGTTAGCAACAAGTGTGCAACTGTGACTGTCAGTTTCGTAGTGAGTTGTATAACACAGTCAAGAAAAAACTACATTTAGGAATGACCACACACTTTATTTCCTCTAAATAAAACATTATTGCCGGCGGCTACCTGTAACTTTGTGATAAAACTTCTCACTCTGATTCTTTGTTTTTAAATTAACCATTAAGCCTGATTTTTTTTAGTACAAAAAGAGCTAATTTTCAATCATAAAATACTAAAAGAATTTTTTTCTGAAATTTCCATTGAACTATTCTGAGGAGTTCAAAACATATTTTGTGAATCATGCTCATTTTCAGTGAATGCATGCGTATGATTAATTGTTGCTATATATTAATTTGTCACCAATTCCTTTTTTATGACAATAATGATAAAATTTTAAATTAAAATTTTAAAACTGTCAAACTCTCATTTTAAATGATTTAATTTTTTATCAGCTCTTACCCACAGGTGAAAGGGTCACTAATCACGTAATTTTTAAATTTCCCCAAGATTTACACTCACTCTTGTACCCCAGCACAATGGATTTTTGCAACTAAAGTCATATTTGAATTATCTAGACAACTTTGTAGCTAAGGTTTCTTACATTCACAGCAGTCTAATGTTTGAATTATTATGGATCATGATTCAGTCCTTTCAATTATTCACATAGTTTTCTGAATTCATGCTAATTCAGTCTCCAGGAATGGAAAGACTTTGGAGGGGAAGTCAGAGGCAAGAAAGAAAGAAAAGAAGAAGAAAACTTGAATATTTAAAGTCATTACATTAATTAAGCTAAATAACATTTTTGCCCCCCTCCCCCACCCCCGATTTTTTAAAAACACGCTTGGCAATAGTTTTATGTTGACATTTTATTTTTGAAATATGGAAGTACGAGGTATGCCCCAACGTGCGTTTCAGAGCATACTGCCCTTAAGTGATCTCCTTTCTAGTTTTGATTGCACCCTAGTAGCCAAGACTCGCTGGACACCACTGACTGCTACAGCGTAGGGGCCGCCCTGAAACAAACGATGAGGCCTGCATTCTGATGGGCAGACACACACGGTATTCGCATGGGCAACGGACTCACATGCACAGAGTTCCACGTGGCACTGTAGAAATTCAGACTTTAAAA